CCTTTTTCGTTAAGTTCGAGACTTGGAATAAAGTTTTCGACACTATTAATAACATTGATGAAGAGAATGTTTATTAATATTCTATGAATAATAACTATGGAAATATTAAACAATCATCATAATTTATTAAGGTTATTATTAATTCAGTATATGAATTATCGCATGAGATTTAAAATGAAAAATATTCAGAAATATTAACGTTATTACATCATTGAAATATGTGACCCATTTTGTGTTCTAAAAACGATTCGAATAATTAGTATTTGAATATTTTACGTTCTACTTTTCTCTAATAATAATTAGTACATGTAAGATTAAAATGGTGCAAGGATATATCATTGCAGTACTAATTTGTTGCATATTTTGTTCTCAGAATTGTATAAAGCTCTGGGAACCGTTTCAGAATTCTCAGAAACTCTCATTACTGCAGATTTGAGCAAAATGCGATATTACAAAGCATTTAATTATGTTCACTTGGAACGCAGTAATTAACTGACGTATAATATCTTTCTATGAAATCGAGTGACTATCGAACATACATTTCAAACATTTCACATATGTCACATATGTTACATACTTCGCACATTTCAATGTGTCATACATTTCACAAAGGGTATAACCGGATAAGGTAGTCAAATGTGCCCTTGATTCGAATTAGAAACTCAATTCGTCAGTCGGTAGCATATCCAAAAAAAACATCTCACACCAAGTTTCAACCCCCTATCTCATCCGCGGGGGTAGTAAAAGGGAAAAAACGAAATTCCGGTTTTTGGCCCTTTTTGCCTATTTAATTTCGTACAAAAATTCTGAAAAAATTCTAAAACATTGAGGTCCAGATACCGCATATTATAGAATTTTTTTCAGATTTTTGATCGCAAATTGTAGTCGTGAAAAATCAAAAACCGGAATTTCGTTTTTTCCCTTTTACTACCCCCACGGATGAGATAGGGGGTTGAAACTTGGTGTGAGATGTTTTTTTTGGATATGCTACCGACTGCTGTTTTTTTTGGATATGCTATCGACTGACGAGTTGGGTTTCTAATTCGACTCAAGGGCACATTTGACTACCTTATCCGGCTATACCTTTTATACATTTCACACATTTCACACATTTCATACATTTCATACATTTTATACATTTTACACATTTCACACGTGTCACACACTTCTTACACTGCACATATTTCACATGTGTCATATATTTCTTACATTGCACACATTTCACACATCTCACATATGTCGCACAGCTCATACGTTTCATACATATCACACATTTCAATGAAAATAGCTTAACTTTTGTAATTTAAAATAAGTAATTTATAAACCGATTAATTGACCAATTTGATAGCTATAATATTATTATACCATTTTAAATCGAAATTAATATCGATTTTTACATATATAAAATGATATAAATAAAATTAAAAAATACCATAAAATATAACGTAAAATAACATACAGTAACGTACAAAGTAAGATACAAAAATTGCGCGAAAGCAGTCATGAAATTGTTAATAATTTAAAAAAGATTTGTAATACAATTTCGTTCCAAAGATCGTTAGTGTTGTAATCAGGCTTCCCGATCACAGGATGAGAAAAAAACAGCTGCAAAGCACTTACAACGACCGATTAACCTATTGATTAGGAATCTCGAGACGTGGAAAGACATCGTTTACGAGGGATTTCGATTGAGCCACATATGGTCGGTCTGGGTTCGAGTTTATCGAAAGATAAGTTGAGGTGATTAAGCAAGACCCTTTCTCCTGTGCGCACCTGTCCTTCGTTCGCTAGTTTTATTTAATCTAGATCAGACTCTTGTATATTTATCGAAACGAAACTTGTGTTTTCGACAAAACAGAATTGCGTGTATATAATATTGGTTAAAATGAGAGAGGATGATTCATAAGAAAGAATAGGGGTGAGTGATAAAATAATACGTTTTTAAGAAATCATTGTGTGGCGGTTAAGCCATAAATAGTTTAGAAAGTTTCGGAGGTTCTTGAAGATCCAAGCTTGTTTGGACATTTTGCGCCCTTGTTTTGCCTCTTAGGGCCATGTGTATTTTCATTGTGCGAAGAGCGGTTAGAAAATCTAGCAGAATAATTCTGACCTCCCTAGCTAACGCATCGTGCTTATTAAACCATAGTTCTTGTTCACATTTTTGTACGGACATTTCATTGTTATTTGTTATTGTTGTTATTGTTTTATTAAATATATATTGTTGTCTGTTACTTTGTGTCACATTTACATCACGTTATCCTAAAATTGTTAATAATAAAAGCAGTATATTTCATTTAGATTTACGAACTTCAGTAACCGTATTAATTATGCTATTTTAACGGTGTAAAGTGATATTTCAGAAATACTGAAACGTAATAGCATTTGCTAATTATTTGTGCGTGATTATTATAATATAATGGAACAATTATAGTATAATTAGAGCAACGAGTTTGTATTCATCTTTATTCCAAACAAATAGGTGAATGTAATGTGATTCATTGTCTATTTTCAAAATTTCGTTGAAATTAATGAATGCAGAAATTTTCAAATTTCAAAACTTTCAAATGTAGATGTTGTGAAAAATGTGTATTCGGAAATGGAGAAATTGGGGGATTTGAAAATGAAAGGAATTGGGTACATTTAGGATTTCAGGAATTTAAGAATTTGGGATTAGGGAATTTGGAAATTTGGGATTAGGGAATTTAGCAACTGAGAAATTTAGGATTAGGGAATTTGAGAATTGAGAAATTGGAAAATTTGGGAATTAGGAAATTTGGGAATTTGGGAATATGGGAATTGGGAAATTTGGGAAATAGGGAAATGGAGAAATTAGGAAATTAGGAAATTGGGAAATTTCGAATTTGGAATATTAAGAAATTAGTAAATATGCAAATTTGTAAATTTGTAAATTGAGAATTAGAGCATTGAGAAATTGTGAAATTTGAGAATTTGCAAAATAGAAAATTTACAAAATGAAAAATAAAATAATTGTGAAATCCTTATGTTGCAAAATTAAAAACCACATGACTTCACAACGAATTAACAAAATTTCATTCCCCCTGAACGGCTTTACCACTACCACGGACACGGATATTGCAGCAAACAATATTTGAGCCTCTCAAGCGCAATAATCTCGTACGACCTGATAACAATTATCATGAACTTAATAATCATGAGTCATGATTCATGACCTCTTCACTCTACATATAAATCTCTGATATACAGGGTGTTCGGCTACTGGTGGGCATAATTTTAGGGGGTGGTAGCTGGAGTGATTCTGAACAACTTTTTCCTTTACCAAAATGCTGGTTAAAGCTTAGTTTTTAAATTATTAATGAAAAACACTGACCAATGAGAGCGCGTATAGACCGGTCGCGCGACAGCGAGAGCGACAGCTTCGAATATGACGGCTGATCGTCGTCGTGAACAAATGTATCGATACTGTCGGTATAACGTCGATATAACGTCGGTATAAAGTCGGTATAATAGAAAGCTGTTAGATGAAAGTTACATTGAATAATGAATAAAAAAATCTGAATTATTGTTGAATTGTCATTCATTCATGAATAAGAAATAACAAAATTAGTCTCTACTCACGTAATCAAAATAAATCGAATTTATTCAATACGTTTATTCGTTATTCCAAAGAAATAATAGATAAAATATGGAGAATTATTTTCGTTAGATATTGTAATGATGAAAAAGAACAAATTCTCTTTTTTAAAAAATTGAATAACTTTTCTATTCAACAAATAAAAATGTGAATTGAATAATTAACAAATTTAAATGTAGCTCACCCATTAAACCGCAAATAATCACAATAAAAATGCGTCTCTGTCACCAGTACGATCCACCGGTCCTTACTGTTAGTATAAATCAATCACCATGCAGAAACTGTCAAAAAACTCTCAAGAAACTTCATTGTCACCTATCACTTTCATCTTTCATTATTAGTTCGCATTATCACTTTTCTCTCTCATTTTTCACTAATTTGCACTAATTTTCACTGTGAGTCCGACACGTAAATAGGACGAATGAAAACACGTGAACGAATATTCATAAATAATTTAAACTATACTATCTTGAAAGCAAGAAAATGGAATTTTCTATTAAAAACAACGATACATTTTATTTCGACACGTTTCTTTCGACAATAAACGATGACTGTCGATCGACGCCGGAGTCGTTCAACAGATCATCGTTGCATGGCAACCGTTCGCGACGTATGCCTCGCGATCGAGAACAAAATCGCGTTCCGTAGCCAGTCTAACAATGTCTTCTAATAAAATATAATATAATTTCGATTCCTCAATTCGGATATCTTATAGTGAGAATAGTGTATCGTTAAACATACATATCTATGAATAATCGTTCACGCGTTTTCATTCGGTCCGTTTACCGGTCGTGCTTATGTTGTGCAATTGTTAGAAAAAGACAGTGAAATAAATTGAGAGTTCATTGACCCTGCCAGGA